AAGAGGAAGACCCCTAATGAGATGGATTGGCCAGGTGGCATCATTGATGGACTCAAGTGTGGCAGCGGTAGTGAGGTTGGCCCAGGATCGGACGTTGTTTTGTTCTGCTGTGCATGGGGTTGCTATGAGTCGGTTCTGACTCGATGGCACCTGACAACAACAACAACAACAACAGTGGAAAGGTACCTGTTAAAGGATAAAAAGTGTGCTTCCTCTGTGCTAACCTCTGAATCACCCCCCACCCCCACCCCTCATTTTCTGTCACTTTTCACTTCACATAGTAAAGCCTATAGTAAGAAGACAGGCAATTATGTGGAAACCATCTAAGTGGAACCCTATTATGGAATCCCACCAATCATTAGAGTTTCCTCCCCAGTTTACAAAAGCGAGGTCACTTGTACATAATGAGACAACAGTTATAGTGAAATCAGAAGTCTCCATGCTCAGTATTTTTTCCTTTTATTCTCCTATTCCTTATTGCTTTGAACAAATGACTGCTTTAAGTGTTTATTTTGCTGAAATATAGCATTTAAAAATAAAGGATTTTTAAAATTACTTTCAAGAGTCATATGGATGCTGACCTTTGGTTCAGGGAAGACAAAAAAAGGATAGGAAGGAAGGAGGGACGGAAAGATGGCAGGAGGGAGGTAGGGTGGGAGGAAAGCTGGGAAGCTGCTGTCACACAAAGCAGCAGCTACTCATTGTTGACACCAGTCAGGTCATCACACAAAGTCAAAGGATGTTGGAAAATGATGGAAATAAATAAGGGGGGAGGGAAGAAGCAGTTGAGGCTAAACAAAAACAAAAACTACATATTGATCATTTCTCCTCTTCACTGAAACCAGATAGTTTCATTGAATCTTGTTCTTTTCTGGCAAGGATACATAAAACATGCTGTGCTATAGAAATCTTTGCTATCAACTGTACTGGCAGTAACAAAGTAGGCAGGAAGCAAATGGGAGGAAAATTGCATGGTTAACAGTTGTTATTTATATTTGTAAAATGTGTAAATTATGGTAGGAAGTAGCAGGCAAGGAACAGGTAAGTAGTCCAATCTATGTGGCTATTGAAATATTAGGGTCCTACCACTGAGCATTAGGCACTGCACAATCTATTGCAGTTTTAGGATTCTGGCCTCCACTGAGCTTTACTCTGTGACAAAATACTGTCATTGAGATGGTCACCTGCAATGAAGGATTAACAACATTTTCAGTGGCAGCAGGAGCCATAGCAACTTCAGAGGCATTCTCACCACAAAAAAAGGTACAATTCATGGTCTACTTAAAGACCATTTATAAGCTTAGCAGAGACGCCCTCAGTGAACTGGTGCTATGCATGATCTTTGTTCATTGTTTACTCAGGTGACAGACATGTGAAGGGAGCCCGAATGCAATAATCTCTAGAACGTGATGTACTGTTACTAAATTAAGAGAATTAGAAAATAATGAGGAATTAGAAAAGACAAAGGGAGAAAATGCAAACACAAGGAAATCAGCACAGAAATTAATAAGGAAGCTTTTTTATTAACAAACAATTTAACTGTCTTAAAATGAGGATCTGCTATGCATGGGGTTACCATGAATCACAATGCACTGGACACCACCTTCAGCAACAACAAAACTAGGATAAGATATTGACAACTGCCTTCGAGTCACTTTCAACTCACGGCAACCCCATGTGTTTCAGAGTGAAATCGTGTCGCTTAGAGGTTTGTTTTTTCTTTTTGTCTTTATTTCATCAGCTCGTTGGGGGACATGAAATGTTCTGGGTACATTCTGAGTTGAGTACCATGTGGATTATATATGTATTATATATGTGGATTATATATGTATTATATATGTGGATTATATATGTATTATATATGTGGATTATATATGTATTATATATGTATATATTTGTGGATTATATCTGTATATATATGTATACATTTCCTCATAAATATCTTCTCCAAAGATGTTTACATATTTTTGTGATACATTCATAAGTTGCCAATTACATATTTTTCTATACACACAGATCCTTTGGGACATTCACTTACAATTATTTGGAATCAGTTTGATCATTGTAAATGCATTTCCAGTGTAGGTACATTGTTGTTTTTGTTGTGGTGGTGGTTGATTGTTGTTGTTGTTATGTGCTGTGGAGTCGCTTCAGACTCATAGCGACCCTGTACAGGGTTTCTGAGGCTGTAAATCTTTATGGGAGCAGAAAGCCTCATCTTTCTCCTGCGCAACAGCTGGTAGTTTCGAACTGCTGACCCTTAGCAGCCTGATTTGTTACTACTATGCTACTAGAGTTGTGGTTGATAGCAAGGGCCAAAATTAAAGGTAGCAGAGTGGAACCACTGACTAGCCAGTTGAACATTTAGGCCTGAAACTGAGTGAGGTTGCAACTGAAAATATAAATGTAGGAGTCATGAGCATATTATGTAGCCAGGGCACTGACTCCCTTAGAGATTTTAATTGTAGCAAGAGTAGCAGTATATCACCAGGTCTGTCATGTGAAGTGCCTCTAGGTGGATTGGACATGTCTGCTTTTTGGTTGACAACTGAGAACTTTACTGTTATTGCTACCCAGAGTCTCCACAACATACATATACATACACATACATACACATACACATACACATACATATACATACACATACATACACATACACATACATACACATACATATACATACACATACATACACATACACATACATACACATACATATACATACACATACATACACATACATACACATACACATACATATACATACACATACATACATATACATTCCAAAGATGCACACATACATACACATTCCAAAGCTATAAGTGTTGAAAACATACGCAAATTATAACTTATTCCACTATGCCTTAATCTTTACATTATTATCTTTTCTTTTAAAATATCTCCTCCTTGCATAAATACTCTTCTACTTTAAAATGTAGTCTTTATGGTTACTTCATTCCCTCGCCACCTGGCCTTTCTTGCTTTCAAACATGATACTTATGAAAAAAAAAAAAAAGGAGTAAGAATGAAGACAAGGACGAGAAATTAGACATGAATTGTGATGAAAAGAACAAGGTGGAGAAAACTCCTCTTCATTTCACACCTTGTCCTTGAGAGCCTGTCATTTCTGAGGTCCGATATCATTTGTGGCTAGGTGACAATATTTAACACAGGAACGAGTTCTAGGTAGGTACTCTACGCACTTAACAACAACAACAACTCTATTCCTATAGAAATTTGCAACATAAATCAATTCACTAACAGGTGCATTCTACAGGGTACTGTCTCTTGGTGTCCACATTATAAGTTCATTTCAATGACTTACCCTATTTCATATTGGTAGGAGCTCTGGTAGCGTAGTGGTTACGAATCGGGCTGCGAACCTTAAGGTCAGCAGTTCGAAACTACCAGCCACTCTGTGGGAGAAAGATGAGGCTTTCTACTATTGTAAAGATTTACAGCCTCGGAAACCCTATTCAGGGTCTCTATGGGTCGGAACCAACTTGACGGCACTTAACAATAACAACATATTGTTTACTACAGTTGTTATTGTTAAGTGCCATCGAATTAGTTCTGACCCATAACGACCCCGTATATTATTTCCAAGGAGCAGCTGGTGAACTTGAGCCACCAACTTTGCAGTTCAAATGACTTTGCAGTCTGACGCATTAGCCCACAGTGCCACACTAGGACCCCACAGTTTAGACATGACTAAAAACTGCCATGCCAGCCTTCTGAGCTGCTGCAATCTTTGAATAACATAAAAGTTTGGACGTAAAATCAAATGTAGGTTTATGATAGAACGATGGGTGGTTTACTTGGAGAGAAATCTTTTACACAAAAGAATCAATTAGCCTTTCACATAGAGAAATGGTGAATTAGAAAGGTTTTGTTAAGACAACAATAACCATACCTTTTGCTTCATCTGTCACAACAATTTCCTTTTGTTGACGAACGAGCTTCCAGGGAGGTATGAGGGGTGGCTTTGGTGGTGCTATTAGAGGACAGGACCTGGTTCTAGTCACCAGCACAGGATGACTACAGATGTGGGAGAATCCATATTCTCTAAGTTTCTCAGCAGAATCTGCCTAAAACGTGGAATGCACATTCAAAAAATGCTTGCTTTATGCATTTCAAATAGTGCTTTTGTCATTAAAAATACAATTATCATTATAGAGATAGAGTCTAAATAAAGAGAAAAAAAAACTTTTACCCATATTTGGAAGGAGCTCTGGTAGTGTAGTGGTCATGAATCTGGCTGCTAACCTCAAGGTCGGCAGTTCGAAACTACCAGCTGTTCCACGGGGGAAAGATAAGGCTTTCTGCAGATTTACAGCCTCGGAAACCCTGTGCAGGGTCACTATGAGTCAGAACCGACTCCATGTTACTTAACAACAGCCCATATTTGGACCTCCTTTAACATATACACTATTACCATTTGCATATTTTTCCATCTTTTCATTGTTTTGAGCCCCATATCCTTATTTGTGAAAAAATAGGTTAGGACTAAATGACACCCTACAATTCTATGTTTAAGGCTCTATGTTGTTATTACGTGCCACAGAGTCAATTCCAACTCACAGTGATCCTATATAGGGTTTCTGAAGAGCTGCTGGTGAGTTTGAACTGCCAACCTTGTGGTTCAAATCAACCTTTTGGTCCAGCACATCAGGTTATACAAGATTACAAAAAAAAAATTATAGTACATCAGTTTTGGTTTGAAATAAGCAACCATTATTTTTATTGGCTAAAGCTTTGAAACAAGTGCTTAATATATATCAATGTAAAGTTTTATTTTATTTTTAAATCACTAGCAGTTGCTATCTAGTGTTTTTTGTTGCTTTTTTTAAAAAATCCAAATCAATGAGACTACTAGTGGTTGCTCTGTCTGTCTGTCTGTCATTTATAGTCATTTATAGGCTTTCACATTCCCATAGCAGCTTCCTCTATGGAAAATCCCTATGAATACCCAGGACAATGGTGGCATTCATAGAGCTACATACCCGGTATCCTGCCAAATCAAGGAGCTGTTCAGATAGATGTTTTCCATATCTGAATATCCAGACCTCCTAAGGCCACTCTAGTTTGGAATAATTCTGAATTATATTTGAAAAGGACTTCAGTTATGGAATGATGACTGCGATATGCCTGCTGTAAGAATTTTGCAAAGTAATGTACTCTGTAGTCAAATGCTGATTTTGATAGCTTATTTGGCATTTACAATGAAATATTATCTACATTAAAGTCAGTTTTTTCTGGAAACTGTTTTTTCTTCCTCATGATTGCATTACCACTAATGCCTGTGCAAATAGCAGCAGTTGGAACTGCACATTTACAAGGAGCCATTTAAGTTACCACGAGAAACCAACCTATCAACCTATTTCAAAGGATTGCCTCTACTAGAGCCTGGCTTCTTCTTGTGACTCTGAGTCTGCGTGCCTCAATCTAGTCTTTTCTGAGGCACAAAATAGTAAGTGACATCTTGACAAGCAGAGACGAAACTGAAGTTGTCAAAGAATTTGTTTTATTGGGATCCAACACCATCAACAGTGATGGAAGTAGCAGTCAATAAATCAAAGAACATAGTACACTGGGCAAATCGGCTGCTAAAGACCTCTTTAAAGTATTAAAAAATAAAGATATTACTTTGAGAACTAAAGTGAACCTGACCAAAGTCATGGTATTTTCAATTGCTTCAAATGAATGCAAAAGCTAGACAATGAATATGGAAGGCTGAAGAAGAATTGGTGCATTGGTGAAGATATTGATCTGTGTTGGAAGAAGTGCAGCCAGAGCGCTCCTTGGATACCAGGATGACCAAACTACATCTCTCATAATTTGGACATATTGACAGGAGGGACCAGTTGCTGGAGAAGGATATCATGTTTGGTAAGGTGGAGGGTCAGAAAAAAAGAGGAAGACCCTTAGCAAAATGGATTGGCAAAGTGGCAGCATCAATGGGCTCAAGCGTGGCAACAACTGAATTGTGAGGTTGGCCCAGGACTGGGCAGTGTTTCATTCTGTTGTGCATAGGGTTGCTATGAGTAGGTACCAACTCAATGGCACCTAACAACAACAAGAAAAACCAAATCTGTCTTGGTAGAAGTACAGGCATGGCATCCTACTTGGTAAAGAAGAGGATCAGCAACAAAGAGGAAGATTCTCAATGAGACAGATTGGCACAGTGACTGCAACAGAGGGTTCAAACCCAGCAATGATTATGGGATGGTCCAGGACCAGGTAGAATTTCATTCTATTAACCATAGAGTCACTATGAGTTCAAACTGACTCTACAACACCTAACAAAGACAACAATCAGTCATTGCACTACTGAGTGCATCAACACTATACAACTCTTGTTGTTAAATGCAGACAGTTGGTTCTGAATCATAGCAATCCTGTATAGACTTTCTGAGAAGCAGCTGGTGGGTTTGAACTGCCACCTTAGAGCTATCAGTTCTATGCTTATCCTACAGCACCATGTAAGGACTCCAACTGAGTCTAAAATATTAAAAATGAAAACAAAAGTGATTCAGTGTCTAAAGTAAAAGTAGCCTTTACATTAATATTTAAGAACTAGACAAAACTGCCATTTTTCTTTTTAGGACAATGTGGATTTCAGCAATTTACTGAAAACCATTCAGAAACTTCTGGCATTATGTCTTATTATTGTTGTCAAGTTCTGTCAAGTCGGTTCCAACTCATAATGACCCTGCCTATGGTTTCTGGGGAGAAGCTGGTGAGTTTGAACCACAGACCTTGTGGTTCAAGGCAACCTTTCAGTCCAGCATGAATCCCACAATGCCACACCAGCTTTTTATATATGATCTAAAGTTTAAGCCTTTTTCTTATAACTTTAACCCTGTGAAATTTTAGAAGTTTCAGTGAGTCTATTCAACTCTTGAAAGGAATCCCTTCAGTAGAAACTTATAGGACAATTTATGTATGCTATTGGTTAAGATAATATCTCAGCATGAAATTTTTTAAGTGCATTACTACAAAAATTACTTTAAAATAATATTGAAAATTGAAGTCATACCCAAAGTGATATTTATAAGTTGAATAACTTCCAGGTATTTTTCTATTTTCATAAAATTTGGTCTCAGTATCTCAACTCCTTTTTATGATTACAACCAAAGTTTTAGTCTATTTTACTTTCTTTCTCTTTTTTTTAAGCTATAGATTATTAGAAAATAAAAGGATCTAAAGCATTTTGAAAATGTAAAGTATAATACCAAATAAAGTATTTTTAGCACTTATTGTAGAGTTTGAATAATCTATGTAAGTGCTACCTTGATTTGAAATATTTAAGACAATTTCTCATAAAGCATTTATTTTCAACATATTGCACAATACTTCTGAATCATGCAAAGCAATGCTATTAATAATAGTTATAAAATGTTAAGAAACTTTGTCAAAGACCTCAAAGTTCCTTGGATAAGAATTAGAGGCAGAGAGGGACTTAGAATAGTGCCTGAAACATCTAAAAGACAAATACAAGGTGTATAATAAAGTACAATAGGTATCTAATTGGAGTCTTTACATTTCAAACTAACTGTTTTATCACCATAACATCTTGTCTTTTCATAGATTAACATAGTGAGTTTGGAATAATATGGAATGATAATAATAAAGTCCTAGATGTCTAAAAGCTTCAAAACAGTGCTATGATTCAATAAGAACAAATGTGATAGGATAAGTAGATTGTAAAGTGATCCAGTAGGTTTTACTAATGAAAAGGTAATGAGAAAATGATTTTCCTATTCAAGAATGTCTTAGTTGTCTGTGGTTGTTGCTAAGTGCCATCAAGTCAGATCCAACTCAGCAACTCTGTATAGGGTTTCTGAGGAACAGCTAGTGAGTTTGCATAGCTGACCTTGCAGTTCCAACTGACCTTTCAGTCCAGTGCTATTCCTACAGCACCATCCCAGAACTCCAAGTATCTAGTTGCTATAACAGGGATAACACAAGTGGATCCCTTCAACTAACAGAAATGCATGCACTCACAGTTGAGGAGGCTAGAAGTCTGAATACAGAGTGTTGGACTGGAGAAATGCCTTTATCTCTTTTCAGCATCTGTAAACCCAGAATTCCCTGGAGATCTTCATGTTGCTTGACATCAGTCTTCCTAGATCTATAACCTTCACAGTACCGGGACCCCAGATCCAAAGGACACACTCCACTCACAGCAATTTCTTGGTGGTAGCAGGTCCCTGTGAGATCTGTTTGCTTGTTTAATCTCTTTTATATATCAAAAGAGATTGACTCATGATACAACCTAATCCTGTAGCCTCCATGTGACCTCATTAACATCATAGAAGTTAGCACTTAGAAGTCATAAAATAATTACATCAGATCAGGGCTGATCACATCAGATCACATCCTGGAGGTAACTGCATGAAATCAGATGTCATTATGGGGGATTACTATGTCTTAACTGCCAAACCATCGAGAATCCAGACCGAGCCAATTTGACACAGCCTTAACTATCACAAAGAACAAAGATGCATATGCATACTTTGTAAACACTAAATATTGCCAAATAATCAACATGATGGGAACATGTTAATGATGTATCATAAAGTGAAACAGTTGGCTTCTAAATAAAACAAAGTATAATTCCACTTGAAAAAAAAGTGCACACACATACAAACACAGAAACTCTGTGCAGAAGAGGAAGGATAGAAGCCAAAATGTTAAGAGTGCCTCTATCTAAGTCTTTATATGATGACCACTTTAATTTTATAACCTTTGATTACACTTTATAAATTTTATGTAACTTGTTCAATTTCTAAAGAAAAAAAAAATTAACTTTTTTGCATGCATCGTTTTAAGAGACAAGGAAGGTCATAGCAATAATTTGCTAGCCACTGGCTGTGAAATTACTCATGTTAAGAAAGTATACATGAATTGTTTATGGAAAGAGACTTAGTATTTAGGAATGATTTATACTATTCTTATGGATATATATTTTTTCTATGCCCTTTGACTTTTCTTTTCTTTATAATGGGAGGAATCTATAAGAAAAAAAGCATATTAGCATTTTTCTAACCATTGCCACATATCTAAGATAATTTTGTATCTGTGTCAGGTCCTTTAGGTTAAGCACCTCATTTTAAATACATGGCTAGGTTATTGCTGTCAAGTCTGTGCTGACTCATAGCGAGCCTATGTACAACAGAACCAAAACACTGCCTGGTCATGCACCATCCTCACAATTGTTATGTTTGAGCCCATTGTTGTGACCAGTTTGTCAATCCATCTCATTTAGAGTCTTCTTTATTGCTGACCCACAACGATATTCTTCTCCAGGAACCAGTCCTTCCTGACAACATGTTCCAAGTACAATTGATGAATTCTCACCAGTTATGTTTCCAGGGAGCAATCTAGTTATACTTCTTCCAAAGCAGATTTATTCATTCTTCTGGCAGTCCATAATATATTCAGTGCTCTTCACCAACACTATAATTGAAATGCATCAATTCTGCCCCAGTCTTCCATATTCATTGTCCAGTTTTGCATGCTTATGAGCCAATTGAAAATACCATGACTTGGGTCAGGCACACCTTAATCCTCAAAATGACATGTTTGCCCTTTAACACTTTTAAAGAGGTCTTTTTGCAACAGATTTGCCTAATGACTTCTTAACTGCTGTTTCCATGATCACTAATGTGGATCTAAGCAAAATTTTATCTTTAACAACTTCATCTTTTCTCAGTTTATTTTAATGCTATTTATGGTCCAGTGAGGATTTTTGTTTTCTTTACACTGAGTTGCAATCTATACTGAAGGTTGTAGTCTGAGATTCATCGGTATTTCTACTCCTCTTTGCTTCCAGCAAGCAAAATTACATCATTTGTATATTGCAGGTTGTTGATGTGTCTTCCTCCAATCCTGAAGCCAGGTTCTTCTCGATAAAATCTAGCTTCCTACATTATTTGTTCAGCATACAGATTTTATAAATAGGGCAAAAGGATGCAATGCTGATTCACACCTCTCTTAATTTTTAATCAGTCAGTTTCCCCTTGTTCTGTTCAAATTATTATTGCCTCTTGGTTTTAGAGATAAAATCCAGGGATAGACTTTTATTTCTGGTATTCCTGCTACCACAGCAATTAATAACACAGAGAGAGACCATACATGATAGTACAGTTCCTGGATTCAAGTGCTTACCATCTTCTCTAATGAAAATATCTTCTTTTCAAACAAATAGAGAGGTGTAAAGGTAGCATATACGACCATGTGAGGGGACTGCGTTGCTGAAGAACCTGTAAAATCAAACACATATCGTGTCATGAAAATTCTAATCAAAAAGGGACTGTCAATAAGTTGATCAACCCAGAGTGTTCATATTCCTGCAAGAATTTATCTTTTCTGATGAAAAACTCGTGAATGACTCAAAATGAATTGAACAAATATGCATAAGTCTCAAATATGCATCTGTTTTATAGAATGTCTACTTAGTTTTACTTTCATCATTGTTGCTGTTAAGTGCCCTGGAGTCGGTTCTGACTCCTAGCAAACCTGTGTACAGGGTTTCTGAGAAGCAGTTGCTAGGTTTGAATCACCAACTTTGTGGTTAGAAGTCCATTCCTTATCCTACAGTGCCTCACCAAGACTCCCTTCATAATGGTGCAGGTGGCTGTATGCTGTCATTTCTGAATCACAGTGACCCTGTGTAGCGTTTCTGTGGCCATAAATCTTAAGTGGCATAGAAAGCCTCGTCTTTCTCCCACAGAGTGGCTGGTAGATTCAAATTGCTGATCTCGTAACCCCCTATGCTACCGGTATCCTTACCTTCATCACAGTGACATTAAATTACTTGTTGTTGTGAGTTGCCATCAAGAAGATTCGGACTCATTGCAACCCCATGTGTGCAAAGCAGAACCTTTTCATAGGTTTTTCAAGGCTGTGATCTGTTAGAAGTGGATTGCCAAGGCCTGTCATCTGCACATTTTCATTGGTAGTAGAGTGCTTAATCACTTGCACTTCAGAGGGAATCACTGTTTTATCTCACTACAAAAAGTTAAGGCACAAACCTTCTCTAGTTTTAAGTCAGTGGGATATGGGAGCTTTCGTATTTGAGCATGTCCAAAGATAATGTTTTTTAAAAAACTGAATTTTTTATTTTTTACTTTCACAGATAGAGTCTTGTTTCTGTTTTGAACATAAGACTCCAAAGTTTCTATGTCGTTTCAGAATGTAATAAAGCACAAATAAATGAATCCTACTATGACAAAGGAAAATGCTATAAATAACTCAGTTTGGAATATACTTGTAGAATATGCATTTGAGCATTGTTCATTTGTTTGTTCACATGCTATTTAATATCCCTGCAATTACTGTATTTGATTTAGGGTTCCTCTATTCTGAAACGATTCTGGTCAAACTAGTTGTTGTTATTGTTGTGTGCTGTGGAGTCGGTTCCGACTCATAGCGACCCTGTACAGGGTTTCTGAGACTATAAACCTTTAAGGGAGCAGAAAGCCTCCTATTTCTCCCATGGAACAGCTGGAATTTCAAACCATTGACCTTAAGGTTAACAGTCCTATTCATAACCACTACACTACCAGAGCTCCTTCTGGTCAAACTAGTAGAAATCAATTTATTTTCCTTTCTTAACTTTATTTTTAATTAAAAAGCTTTTGTTTTATATCTTTCAAATACTTACATTATTAGAGAATATGCTTATAGAAGAATAATACCTTTGAGCCATAAAGTACAAATCAAATATTTACATTATTAGAGAATGCAGAACATTACCTTAGATTCATTAAGTATAAATTAGATATAAGGATTTCTCTATTTAGATCAACATGTGCAATATGTCAAACATAAAAATACATTAAACTGTACAGTTTTTATGGCCATTGCCAACACAAATTGCTCTCTTAGTAACAACCGGATGTATATTGAGCAGTTGATATTTACTTGTGATACATTTCCTTGCACTATTGTCTTATGTCTACTGTGCTGTGCTCCCAACTAATTTGTTGTTTGTCTGTTTGCAGAGGTTGAGTTAATACTTTGGTTTGGTCCACAGTACTTTTCATGAAGTACAGTTAAACCCTAGGATTACTTAAAGGCAACTTTTACTTGCCCTTTATGTCAATGTGTACTCACTTTGAAAAGAATGAACCAAGTCCTACTAGTAACAAATCATTCATCACAAGTGCCTTCCCTGGCTGCATGTGCAGCTTGTTAATCATCATTGGAAATGGCTCAGAGCTTCTCTTGTAGAGATTAAGACTATACACAGCTGTTCCCACTTACCTAAAAATTCCACTTAAAGACACATTTAGGAACAGATCTTACCTATAACCCAAAAACTCTATGGACTAAGTTTCAAAATTTGACTAATGAGCCTCAAGATCAAAGCTCCAACAAAAGTATGCTTTCGCTTAAAGACAATGAATGTAAAGCAAAATCCTTTGCATGAAGTTTATAGATATTAATTCTGTTCATCCTTACCCACAGATAAAACAGTTTTGTACACCTCCAGTGAACCAGAGTAGTTCTGGATGGTGGTGACTAATCATGCTATCTCCTAGTTAACTGATCAATTTAATTAAAGCTCTTCAATTACTCCTCATCTCAAGACAATAGAAAATGCAAACATGTCTTTAACCTCAACTGAGACAGGGCAGTTTGTTGTGTGGAGGAAGGCACCGAAAGTAAGAGATGATAAATATTGAAACAGAAATTAAAAAATCAACTTCCTATCTATAGAAATTTCTGCTCTAGGAAGGGAGATATCAAATAATTTTACAAAATCCTTTCTAAGAATTGACTAGTTGATCTTTTACCACTTTGGAATCTATGTAAAGTAAGGAATGGCAAAAAGACCCTCATCAAACTCAGTGTCTTTGAGTCTGGCTATTAAGAAAGATTAGGTTCTTTTTATAACAATGATCTTGAATTCCAGACATTAAATTTATAACCCTGCTTCTTCAAGTCCTAGAGTCCTTTGATTTCAAAAAGAGTGAAAACAAAAGGAAAGCAATAGCATTCATTTTAAACATTCATTGATAATTAAACGGAAATTTAGTAAGAAGAAAAATTAAACAGCTGTTCAGCCTGGGAATGAATCACTAGCGCTTTCTAAATTTGAAGTTATACTTGTCATTGGACAATCTCTTTGATATCCCATAGGAGTAAAGTTTGGCTAAAGGTAATAACAAAAATGGCTACAATCATACATTGACAGAGAACTTCCAGAGGTTCAAGCTGGATTCAGAAGACGCCGTGGAATGAGGGATATCATTGCTGATGTCTGATGGATCTTGGCTGAAAGCAGAGAATATAAGAAAGATGTTTACCTGTGCTTTATTGACTACGCAAAGGGTTTCAATTATGTGAATCATGACAAGCTATGGACAACATAGTGAAGTAAGAGTATTCCGGAACACTTAATTATGTTCAAGAGGAATCTGTACCTGGACCAAGAAGCAGTTGTTCGAAGAGAACATGGGAATACTTAATGGTTTAAAATTAAGAAAGGTGTGCTGCAAAGTTGTAGTCTTTCACCATACTTATTCAACCTGTATGCTGAGCAAATAATCTGAGAAGCTGGGTTATATGAAGAAAAACATGGCATCAGGATTGGAGGAAGATTCATTAACAACCTGTGATAAGCAGATGATACAACCCTGCTTGCTGACAGTGAAGAGGACTTAAAACATTTACTGATGAAAATCAAAGAGTACAGCCTTCAGTATGGATTGCATTTCAATGTAAAGAAAACAAAAATCCTCATCATTGGATCAATAAACAACATTCTTATCAATGGAGAAAAGACTGAAGCTGTCAAGGACTTCATTCTTCTTAGATCAACTATCAACACTCATGGAAGCAGCAGTAAAGAAAACAAATGATGTATTGCATTAGGCAAATCTGCTGCACTAGACCTTTTTAAAGTGTTGAAGTGCAAAGATGTCAGCTTGAGGACTAAGGTGTACCTGACACAAGCCATGGTATTTTCAGTAACCTCATATTCATGAGGAAGCTGGACAGTGAATAAGGAAGACTGTAGGAGAATTGATGCTTTTGAGTTATGGTGTTAGAGGAGAATATTGAAAGTGCCATGGGCTGCCAAAAGAACCAATAAATTCGTTTTAGAAGAAGTGCAGCCAGAGTGGTACCTGGACGCCAAGATGGCCAAACTTTATCTCTCATACTTCGGACATATTGTCAGGAGGGACCAGTCACTGGAGAAGGATATCAGTTTAGTATGGTGGAGGGTCCGAGAAAAAGAGGAAGACCCCCAACGAGATGGATTGGCCAAGTGGCAGCATTGATGGACTCAAGTGTGGCAACAGTAGTGAGGTTGGCCCAGGATAGGGCAGTGTTTCGTTCTGCTGTGCATAAAGTCGCTATGGGTTGGTACCAAGTCAATGGCACCTAGCAACAACATTATCATTTTAATTATTTATATAAAATTTAAAGAAAAAAAAGCTTGATTCTAGATTGAGGAGAAGATGTTTAAGTCATAATTCCTAGAAAGAGTTCCTTTAGTATTTACGACTTTTTAAGAACTATAATTCTGGTAGCGTAGTGGTTACGAATCAGGCTGCAAACCTTAAGGTCAGCAGTTCGAAACTACCAGCTGTTCCACGGGAGAAAGATGAGGCTTTCTGCTCCCGTAAAGATTTACAGCCTCGCAAATCCTGTACAGGGTCACTATGAGTCGGAACCGACTCCACGGCACATAACCACCAACCACCATAATTGCCATGTTGGTTTTGTCTAAATGTCTTATTTTACCTATGAGACAGCTCTTTTTTTGATTCTTAAAAACATACTTCAGAAAATTCTACTGTAAAATATATATTACTTTAAACCCCATTTTATCACTGATCTCATTTCACGTTAAACTTACAGTCTTAATAAATAAGTTTCAGCCTCAAGCACTGATACACAATGAGATGGACCATGAACCAAGTGCAAAATTATTACAAAACCTTTAAGACACTTGTGAGAGTATAAATCTGTATTTACATGTGATGTTGCATCAATTTCTCAGATTTGCTAATATTTATTGAATACTTAACCTATGTTAAGGAGTCTTCTAAGTGTTTTACATGACTTTGTTCATTTCTCACATAAGCATATAAGATAAGCTCTATGACTAACACTATTTTCTGAATAGGAGACTGAGGTAGAGATAAATCAAGGAATGTGTCTAATGTTGCCCAATTAAGAAATGCAATGCGGGGTTATGAACCAAGAAAGCACTGTCCCAGAATTCAGACTCTTATATTGGTCTCTT